AGGCCATGGGGGAGGGGGGAGGGCAGTGGGAGGGACGAGGGGGCGGCGTGGGCACCTCCAGGTGGAGCAGGGGTGCTCCTTCCCCTTGGCATGTTGGGGCCAGCCCTCCTCCCTTGGTAGGAGCACCAGCTCGGGCACCAGGAGGGTATTTCCTCTGACTTTTTCACCTCCCCTCCTCCCAGTCCCCAGAGACTTGCATCATCACTTCCTAAATTATATCCCAGAGCCCCATTTGCTTTTAGGAAGCTGTTCACACGTCATCCATTTGTATAATTCGAGTCCACAACTCAGGCTAGGGTGAAGTTCTAAGACTGTGGAGGGCTTACCTTGATTTAAAAGACGCTTTAGATCTGTAAAAATTCCTTGTCAAAATAAAAAAACCAAAAAGCCCAACAAACCCTCAAGTCAGCCTTGGCTTTGCTCAATGGGCTCTCATAGTCCCCCTTTTCCTCATTAAAAAAATAGTAACCTTCACTGTGAGCATCGGAGATTACTTGGCCATAGTGCATTCGGGCGAGAAGATGTAAGGTGGGAACACCCCCCCAACACACACACCAGTTCCAGTTTAAATTCCTCTTGTGGCGCTTTCAGTGTGGTGGATTGCCACCTAACAGGTGCCTCCATCATACCACATGACTGTAGTTCTGTAGTAAGTAACTGGAGACTTTGAAGGCTAACTTTTGTGGTTGAGCTCTTTTTTCCTTTTTCTAAGATTCAGTATATTTGGAGGTACATAGAGGAAGGATGGAATTGTTTCTGATGCGGACATCTTGGGAGCAAGTATTGAAATGTTTTTTTCTCTTTGCTGACTCCCATTTTCTAGGAGTGATGAACTTAGAAATTAAGGTCATGATTTTGGGAGTGCAGAGAAAAATTAGAAAATGCATCTTAATCTTGATGTTGGTGGAATTTCTCAAATCCAGAGGTTATGAATGAAGAACTGGATCCTCATTTTCTCATCTTTCTGCCTTTTCTCTTAAAAATTTCCCAGCGGAAGGACGTTGATCAAAAATAAGTTTTGGCAATTCCAAAAGTCCTGAAGATGTGGAAATAGTTTAGGCGTATACTCTTCCCATCATTTTTATTTGAAAATAATAGGTATCTGTGAACTGCTTTCATGGACAATCTAATTCCCACGAGAGTCTTAGGTAGGTGCCATTATCTCTTTATTACTCAGGAAACTGAGGCTTAGGGTGGGTAACTTGCCCTGTCATATAGGGAGTGTTGGGTGGAGCTGGGAAGCTCTTTGGAGTACTCATTACCAGCACGTTGATGACATCAGTCTGCTGCATTGAAAAAGCTTGGTGTCACAAGCCTCAGGTTGTAACTCATTATAAGACATGTGGCCCAAAGAAAGTAGCTGCCAGTGGCAACCCATGCCCAGGATGTATCTGAGATCTGTTTCCTGGCAACATGTTTATGTCCTTGGGACCGTTATCAGGAGTGGAATCCTTATTGAAAGACTTAAATCAAGGCCTAAAAACTAAAGAAATGGAATAGTATTTGTACATTTAGCCTTCAGAGTTCTGAGTAACATCAAGAGACTGCAGTAGAGTTTAATAGTTGCAGACAGGGACAGTTACACCGACCTCTAAGTTATACTTGTTCTATAAACTATCAGAACTTTTTAGATACTTTAAATCTGGCACTTTTTAAAAACTTTTGCCTAACAAGAGTATGGAACTTAAAAACTAATATTTTTATGGTGATTTTTTAAAAATTTGTGTACATCGTTTAACCTTTTTTAAGGATTTTTTTTAGACATCTGTGCAGTTTGTATTTTAGACCAAAACATAACAAAATATTTCTTTGTTTCTATGTCATAACTACTTTTGAATGTTTCTCCTACTGCATGGGCACATTTGTGTGGTATTTTTTTTTTTTTTTTGGAGAGATTTTTCCTATAGGGTGTGTGCACTCGCCAGAGAGACAGAGACACAGAAAGTGAGAAATCACCCCCCAGGGGGGATGGCCACGTCGCAATCCCCTCTCCTCCATTCTCCTCTTGGGATCTTGGGCACACACGCACATGCTCCCAGCGTGAGTTTAAGCCGCCGGGTCCAGAACTCGAACTGTGGTCGACTACATGGGAGTCCGGCAACATAGCAATTATGCTAACTGCTGGTCCCTGTGTTGTTTTATTTTTAATAGAGATGTTTGCTTTAGGGAGTGTGCGCTCACTGAGAGACAGAGAGAGAGAGAAAGTGAAAATTCACCCCCTAGGGAGGATGCTGTGCCAAAGTCCCTTCTCCATTTTCCTCTTGGTATCTTGGCCATATACGCACACACACCTGGTGAGAGTTTTGATTTTTTTTTTTTTTTGGAGTGGTTTTTGCACACAGGATAAAAACCCTGTAGGGTGTGTGGGCCTGCCAGAAAGACAGAGAGAGACAGAACGTGAGAAATAACCCTCAAGGGGGATGACCACACCCCAATCCCTCCTCCATTCTCCTCTAGGGATCTTGGGCAGTCACACACACATTCATGTACCTGGCATGAGTTTAAGCCTCCGGGTTTGGGACTCGAACCTCGGTCGACTACATGGGAGTCCAACGACATAGCCATTACGCCAACTGCTGGTCCCACCTGGTGAGAGTTTTAAGTGACTGCATTTGGGACTGGAACTGCTGAAGACTGTGGTAGTCTAGTGACATAACCATTATGCTATCTGCGGGTCCCCACATTTGTGTTCTCTCTCTCTTTTTTTTAATAGGATATTTTTTTAAAAAAATTATTTATTTAATTTTATTTATTCATTCATTTATTTTTAGTTTGACTAGAGAGACACAGAGAGAGAAAGTGGTAAAGTGAGAAAGCAAGCCTCCAGGTCTGAGACTTGAACCATGGTCGGCCATGTGGGAGTGTCCAGCACCTTAATCACCACACCACCTGCTGGTCCCATCCCACATTTGTGTTCTTAACAAACCATGTATTCACACACATTTGAGTGTTTTTGTTATAATGGTGGACAAAGAGTACTCGCCCTATTCTCTGGGGCAGGGGACATAGAGAGTTAAAACTGACAGTTGTAATAAGTTGTGTAGGGGATCATGGAGGGGCACCTATCCTACCTGGGGTGGAAGGAAGTAGCACTTTAGTTTAGACCTGCAGGAAAGGTAGAAGAGGGGGGAATGGTATGGACGAGGGCTTGGATAGAGCACTTACGTATTTGAGAAACAGAAGGTTCATTGGGGTGATTGGTAGATTACCAAGAGGACATCAATTGGAGATGAGGCTGGGAAGTGAGAAGTGGTGATACAGGACCCCCAGGAGTGATGCTGAGGAAATTAGGTTTTTATCCTGTGTGCAGTGGGGAGCTGCTAGATAACTTTGAGCAAGGAGTGACAGGATTATCTTTTTATATTTTAATTTGCTACAAGGTTCTTATTGCTTGTCAAGGGGTGGGGAGAAGGCGTGCAGTACCCTACCTGGGGGATGGTAACACCACAGTCCTCTATCCTTTGCTCCCTCCTGTTGGGATGTTGGGCTGGGTGTGTACTTTGCTAGGTGTGTATTTCAAGCTGCTGGGTCTGGAACTCCAGTTGCGCTGTCAGCCACGTGGGATCCAGCTGTCTTAACCACCATACCACAGGTGACCCATCTTTTTTAACATTTATTTTTTATCGGGGCCAGCAGATGGCATGGTGGTTAAGGGTGCCGGACTCCCACATGGCTGACTTGGTTTGAGGCCTGGGCCTGGCAACTTGCTTTCTCTCTTTCTTTCTCTCTCACTCTGTTCCTCTCTAGTCAAATTAAAATAAATATATAAAGTTAAATAAAATAATTAAAAAAATTATTTTTTATTGCCAGAGGATGTGTGCTCATGAAAGAGAGCAAGCAGAAGCAACCCCTAGTGGGGCTTGGTCACACCACAATTTCTTCTCTATTTCTCTATCCTGTCATGCATACACATGCGCCCGTTGTGATTTTCAGTGGCTGGAATTTGAACTTCAGCTGGCCATGTGGGATCTGGCTCCCTTAACCACTAGGCTGTGGGGCTGGCCTGACATGATTATCTTTAATGTGAAAGGTTATTGGTTTATCTTGAGGATGGTTGGGGTGTGTGGGTTTGTGTGCATCTGTTTGAATGTGTTGTGTATGTGGAGTGTAGCTAAGTCTAGAGGTAGAGAAGATCTGTCAGGGAGTGATTTAGACTAGACATGGTGGGGGCGTGAACCAATGTAGTGATTGGGGAAACTAGAGGAGACAGATGTAAAGCCATTTGGGAGGTACCTTTTGCCTTTTTCCTTTATTAGAATGAAAGTGAGTATGCTCATTAAACATTGTGCAGCATTATACTCGTGGAAGCTGTAGGTCTCTGTAAGGCCAACCTGGGCTTGCACA